TCAGCAGGAGGTTGGACTGGAGATCTCCAGAGGTCCTTTATAACCTAAACTACCCTGTGATTCTATGATTTTGTGGAGCACCTAATAGCTGATGGCTCCGAGAGGAAGCCTGTTCTATGTTCTTAGCAGTTCTATGTTCTTAGCAGTTCCAGGACAGTCACAGCGTGCAGCTGCCATGACTCACTGGTCCTGTTCATTTAAACATCATTCATCCGAAAAAAAAATCTCACTTCCTTCTGAGCACAGCAGATTATTCCATAAAGAGCTGCATGGTGTTGCAGACTGTTTCTAATAATACAGATAATTGTTTTTAAGAGTAATGCAAGCACGTATATTAAACTGCCTTATGCCATGAGGCTTGTTCATCCAGTCTTCGGTTAAAACAGACATCCTTCCTCTGCCTCTAGAACTAAAAAAGCTTTTTCTTTTCTTCTTACTAGTTACAACATATCAAAATTTGGCAGTCTGGTTTCCATAACATTTGCCTGCAGCTTGCTATTTTCTCCGAGGCTGATCCTGCTTTCAAAGCCACGATGCAAACAGAAGGGACACAGCTGTCTTACTTTCAACGGCAACATTTCAGGTGTTTTTCTCAATAAAAAATGCCCTTTATATTCCATTCTGCTCTTACATTCCTCTTTGGCACTTCAAAACAGAGATCTTTTAAACACTGTCACAGAGAATTCAGGAGAGAGCATTTTCATTTCCTTAACCTTTTCTCTCCAGTTCTTCCTGTACCCAGGGAAGAGGGACAGAATAGGTATGCAGATGAGAGGGCAGGGGCAATCAGGAAACGCTGTGTTATTGTGTTCTAATAATCAGCAGGGAAAATCAGGAGATGAAAACATACTACACAAATAATACTTTAACTTTGTCAAAATAATTTGATGATAGCTATAATGGCTCTACGCTTGATGACCATTAGAGAAACCTTTCTCTTATTGGACTCATGGCCCTTTGAAACCTTCTTATAAACTAATGATGCTCCTCCAGATAATCACAAGACAATCCCCTCCTTTTTTTCCCCTTAAGATTCAAATCTGTTTAGGAAGGGTCCCTGCAGACTGAAGTAAAGATTTTCTTAAGACTCATTGGTAGAAAAACCCCAGAAGAGCAGTGCTGTAATACAGGGGTTTCTTTAAAGTGTAGTTTGAATCGTTAGAAGCAATTATTTGCTAAGGGACAGAAATTAGGCCAATAAACATAGCTAGCACCTGGCTTAAGAATTGTGACTAACAAGGTGAAAACTAGCATTTTTTACCAGCTGTTCCTGAAAAACTAGGTTATTAAGTAGAAAGCAATAACAAAGCAGTTGTTCTGCCTTACCTGAGGCTGGTGTCTGTGTAAGGCATGGCCATTAGCTGGGAATCTGCCTTCTCACTGAGGGAGCTCTGAAAAAGGACAAAAACAAGCAGATGACACAAACTGAAAACAATAAGCATTTTCGTTGTTTGGCACTACGTAAAACATGAATCATGTTTGTAGCAGAGTGAAGATATAATGAGGTACAGAGATTAATCAGTGCCCCAAACAATAAATGTACATTTTTTTCACTAGTGAAATGTGAAAAACTGAAATAGCAACCAGCAATCAAGCTGGAGCCAAAGAAAAAGCAAGTGTTTCAATACAGCCAAATTTAAAGTCACACATTCAGAGACAAAGAAGTGAAGCCGGCATCAAGCACAACAGTTGCACGTACTGTGTCATCCATGTGCAAAATCTGCTATCACTGATGTCAAATTTGCAGAATTCTTCTGAGGTCACATCCACTTTGTATCTCTGCCCAAATATACTACCCTCAACTGCTCTTTGAAACACTAGAGGCGTCTGAACTTGCCCTACTTAAATGTTCTATCATTCTCCTTTGGACAAGAGTGAGAAGAATCTGAAGTTTAATATTCAATAATTTTTCTCTAGAGAAGTGTGGTATTTCCCACATTGTTAAGTTCAATTCCTTTTAAGGTTGTTACTAGCTCTTAATCAAGTGAAACACTTTGAAAAATCACGGTCTTAATTGCATCCTCACTACCGGTATGCCATGTAGATGAAAAGGATTGTAAAAAATGGGAAATATGAGCACAAATAGCATAATTCTGTAGTCTTACCAAAAACGTATCCCTCTAGCAAAAATCTGAAAAAATTAGATAGAAATATTTCAACAAAACCAATCAGCTGTGCCCTTTAGCCATGAGCCAGATGAATGTGCTGTAGGTTAGACTTCTCTCCATTTAACCAACAGTTTCACTTTATCCTTACACAGCCTTACAGAGAAGTCATAAAAGTCATTTTAGGAAACGCTAAACATATTTTGATGACTGCTAAAAAACCTAAAAACTTTTAGCCTGAATACAAGAGCAGGAATATTGACAACATAATAATCAACCAAACCCAGCAATTTAAAATGGGAAGTGTTGGGCACTCTAATTAGAGACACCATTGCTACTTTTGTCTATAATGACAAGCACAGACAAGTAAGAGAGAATATTTTGTTATGTTGTCTGAAATTATCTTGTCATGCTATTGACTCACCAGTATAAACCTGCCTACCTGCACAACCCGTGCTTTCTGCTGGTTATTGGATAGCCTTCTAGATCTTGTTCGTTCCACTTCATGTCTGTGAACCCATCCTCGAAGTTCATGATTCAGCCTAGAAAAAACCCACAACATTAATAGATGTTTCAAAGAATAGTGGCAGAATTTTTAAATTTTAGAAAGCAGTTTAACTAGCCACTATAAAGACGCTGCAGATTATTACTCTTTTACCTTATGATAACTTATTTTTAATACCAGAGTAATAAAATATAATTGCAAGATTAAATTTATGAGGGATTTTTTAAGGAAATATCTATACAGTATTAGGATCATGGGTGTTTCAACATAAAGCAGATACGGTACTTTCTTTTGCCCAGTGAACAGTAACTCTGAAATTATTGGAAGGACTACCAAAATTTGAAATGAAAAGTTGATCAGTTGAAGACAAAATATTGATTAAGAAGGTTAAAATATGGCAAATAAATTCGAGACAAAGAATGGACAAAGCAGAATGGAGATAAGGTTACTGACGCACTCGTATCTTTGGAAAAAGCGGAGCTAGGTGTTTTCTAACAGTGAATAAAGCATATCTGCAGTGTCAGGTAAGGCTGCTTGTATTGGAAGCTGAAGAGTAGGAGACCATCTTTTATGTATTTCAGATGGAACAGGCTTTTAGCTGGACTTGATTTCCATATTACATGCATTTCTACATATGAAGTGATTTCTCATTCGAGTCATGAAAAACCCCCAGGCAATCACAATATTGTTATTCAGTTATTGCTAAATGATCAGTGTGAAAACTAAGTGAAAATCATTACTAAAAACATAAAAAGATGACAAAGATCCAGGTCAAGCTCCTGTCTCCATGGTAGTAGACACTGGACAGTGCAGACACTTATAGAGGCATTGGTCACATACTAGATGAACACTACGAATTGACAATAACATCATTCACAGCTGTCTGTCCAGTAGCACTCACCCAACACACGATTTATATCTGAACTCCTAATAAAAGCTTAAATGCTCAGAAAAGGTTGATTGCTCACCTCAGTGACTCTGTCCGGTTGATCAGGGGCTGACAGGGGGGTGGGGGTGGGGAAATATATAACAGTGGTTCTTCTGAGACTATCATCAGTGCTTTGTTATCAGAAACAGAACGATCATACCTGGCATAAAAATAAAAAGACATAAAGAAATCCCTTAAAATAGTTTTTCATGAACCTTTGACCAAATCCAGACATAAGCACTACCATTGGCAGACCCACAAAGGTTATAGCTGCTCCTATGGGACTTTTGAAACAGGTGAATAACAATTTCTATCAAATATCCAATGGTCTCAGTCAATTCCCCAAAGGGGTCGGATAGCACTCAACACAGGAAAGATAGATGAGCATTAGCAGATGTTGGATCTCTTCCCAAACAGGCCAGATATTGAAAGAAAATGTAGCCTGTAAAATATTCCTCATACTATGTAAACTATGAGATCTCTGCAGAGGCAACTTTCTCTTTCTTTCCAGAGCCGTGCAAGATTTGCTACAGAAATACTAAATTTATTAGCCACTAAAACCATGCAGATGTAAAGACCATGAGCTGTATGACAATGGAGCAGCCACAAACTATATTACAACTCAGTGGAGAGGATTTATATCTCCAACAGTCTCCAGAAGCTAGCTTGGCTTTGATAAAACGTGGAAAAGAGCGTGTATTTCAATGCAAGAATCCACAGCGCTCTCAGCAACAAAGCAAAGACTAATATTCCTTTCTCCTGGTTATCTGTATGTCCTGAGGGGTTAACTATTTATCACCAAATATCTATTATAAGTTTCTCTCTTGATAGAGTATCAATATAACAGTCTTAGTCCTCTTGGTTTTGACAGAGATTTGTAGCTCCGAAACCTCAACTTCTCTTTGAAAAATCAAGTAGAAGAGCTTATGAAAGCCTTACTCACATTCCCCTCCCTTCCCCCGTTTCTCTCCCTCTTCATGTCTGCTTCTCCTGTTTACTGCATCTAGAACTGATAAAGGAGAATATGCAGCAAAGAGCTCACAGCTTGGCAAAAAAACAGGGTGAAAGAGTGAAAGAAAAGGAGGAGGTACAGCATTAACATATCGTCCTAAGAGAACGACTCTACTACTACGTCACATAAGTCATGGTCTGAAACATGCCACATAGGACACAAAGCCCTCACCATGGCTACAGCTTAAAATGCTCTTGATTTATTGCCTTCTTTCTGCATGGCAAAATACATTAGGGCTTTCTGCACAGCTGTGCCTGGCTTTGTTCAACCAGCCAAAACACTCTACTGGAAAGGGACAATCTGATCGGATAAATCTTGTAAGGGGAAAACATGAGCTGGATTAGCCAGACTTCAATCTGGAGACAATTATATGTTCACTTACGCACTGAATGCTGGAGATCTAGCAAGCTTGAAAGCAACTATACAATTAAATAATGGGCAAGCATAAGGATGGACTTGGAGATTTCTAAAAAAGTACAGTGCTAAGTTCAGAGTATGTTCTGAAGTGTGAATTTCCCCAGTCTCCTCTTCAGCAACTAAGAAAATAAATACTCCAGCCTGAAAAGTAAGAAGAGGTAAATAATACGACAAATACCACAACTATGCAAGCTAAAATAGAGATCAGGGTAAAAAAGCAGACAGGTAAAGAACTGAAGAAGTTAATGAAAATCTCCATGACATACACTCATGTATATGGCCTCTTCCACCACGCTGTCCCTAACACCATACAACATAGCCACATGCACACTTTTGAAGCTCTACATATTGGGTAACCTTGGAGATAAAACACCATGTTCATTTGAAAAGTAACCTGGAAAACTTTGTTAAATGATAAAAAAATAAAAGTGATCAGCTTTGAAAAGACTGCATCTGTAAGCTCAGTTGCTCTGTAACAGCAGCAATAACACTGGCCAAAAAGGTTAGCAAATGGAAAGGCAGTGAGGTCTAAAAGCAACGTTGCCCTCTGCCACTTAAAATATGTTAAAGGTTTTCATCCCACCTATTACTCTTCTCAGAAATGATGTCGCCAGGTATTTTCCGAGCTGTGCCAGACTCCTGGCTAGCTGAGAACTCCAGAAGATTTCTGGTCCGGTGGCTGGAACTCACAGTGGAATCAACTCCATTGGGATCCTTTTCAAATACACTGTAAAACATAATAAACCATAGCAAAACATACCACATACATAAAGGGTCTGCAAGACGTTAAATACTCAGGTGGATAAGTTTCTGGCTGCTGCTGTGTTACATGGATAAGGTTCATGTCATATCTAATGTAAAAACATGATGTCTTGTGTCATTATATTACTCTTATTCAAAGCATTAGTAGACAGAAAAGCAATTCTGTTCTTCAGTTTTAATTGTGTGAAGGATTTTGATGCTCTGGTTTTCATGTTCCACCATAAGCTTCACCTGACAAAACTGAGATCAATCTGCTTCTAACCTAGATCTGAAGGCATAAGAAAACTACCTATATTCAAATCAAAATACCAGTGAACTTTAACTGTCATCAGCCTCAAAGCACAATTGACATAGTTTATATGAATACAATATGTAAGGAAAACATAGCTACCAGATTCCGTGCAGCTGCAAGCCTGGAATATTATGCCAGACATGTAACAAAGCTGTACACAAACTTATACATGTTCAATCCTACTTGGATTTAGAAACACCGGCAGGGCCGACAACCCCATCTACATAACGGCAGCAGGCCACGGTCCCAGATACCCAGTTGTCCTGGCCTGTGCTTGCACTGATGGAAGGATCCTCACCCGGGGGCTGCTGAGCCAGCCAGCCGTGCAGCACAGGAACGTCTGCGCTGCTCTCCATGCAAAGCAAGGTAGCAGCATTTCGCATGCGAGCTGGAAAAATGACCAGACAACTGCTATATGAGATCGACTGCATCCTAGTTCAGAAGGGTGATTTACAAGCATGAAATCCTGAAAGCACCGAAGGAGTACTTCAAGATAACCTCTCCAGAAGCTAGCTTTACTCTTTCATAAACATGGTTGCTTCCTGAAATATTTATATGTACAAAATCAAGTCCTAACCTTTTTAGCTGACAACAGCAGAGCATCACTAGCAGCAACACAGCAAAAATACAAAAATACAACAAGACCCCAGCATGCCAATGAGATCTTTGCCATGCAAGTCAATCACTGCCTACAGAGTATATTTTAATTCATGCTCCACCTTTCCTGTGTAGCAGAGCATAAACTCTGCAGGGGAAGATCTCATTTTCCGATTTGTTATATGGCATCACTTTGCAACAGGCAACCAATACGAACGGTAATAACAGAGAAAGGCAAGAACTAGAAAGGAGGGCAGATTAAATACTCCACAACTAAGCAGACAGCACACATAGTTGCCTAGCAATCCCCTCTCTTTTGCCAAGACATTTGCGCTCCTGTTAGCAGTAACCCAGGTCTCCCCGTGAGTAATTGTGTCACGTTCTGCAGAACCGCTGGAGCCAGGGCAATCCCAGGTCCAGGCTGACGTCGCTTGGACTGCCTCCTCTCCTGCAGGTTTCCAGGCAGCAGCACAGGATCATGGCAGCAGAAATGCTACAGGCTCTGTTTTCACTAGTGACAGTGGGCAGAGAAGTACTTACAGACAATTTCCTTGCTGTATATGTGTACTAGCATCCAAGTGTCTCATTGCTTCTACTGCACTGGAAAGCTGCATGGTTTATTCACAGCCTCATAGATTGGGCAACACCATGCTATCCAATTCTACAGAAACAATCTCCACTACCTATTATATTTTATGAGATGTTTCTTCTCTTCCAATGAAAGCATCAGCACAGCTGGCAGCATCTCAAGCCCAGAACCAGAGCTCAAAACTATGGCTGATGTCTAAAGCGATGCCACACATTCCTGTTGGAAGTCAGTCATCCGTGAAATGTCCCTACTCTACCTAATTCGGAGCCATCACACCTAAACGTATATGGAAGTTTACGCATGAAACCAAGAATATCCATCAGAAGATGTGAAAGTTGTTGCTCTCCTGAAAATCCACAGCCTGAAGTGTATCAGCCATCCAGTGTGTTGATGGACCTACCAGGTCTGGCATTTTATCCTACCCTGCTTCTCTCCTTTCCCGTTCAAAGTGACACATTGAACCAGAGAAACTTTCCATGTAATTACGTAGTTAAAGCTAACAAAAACCTAATCAGTAGAACTGTAACAAGTCTGCATTTTTCCATGATGGCTCTTCCTTCCTATTTCCCTCATTCTGCAAACGCGATTCCTGTTATTTCAGGTTCCAGCTTGGCGAGGTGACTAGTTTGAGGTGAAGCACCACATGCAACACATTGCTACTCCAGTTCACCCTGAAGTCTCAACAAAAGTAGAATAATCCAAACCAAGTCCATCAAGGATAAAGATAAGCTCCACTCTGCAATCACCTCTAATCTTCAGTTTTTAAATTTAGTGGTTTTAGCTGTACAGCCACTCAACACCACACACACCTCATTTTATTATATCAGCTTTAATAGAGAATAAATATTTATTTTTACTCTGCCCGACACCTTAATCTTTTCATTAAAATTAAACTTCCACTTTTGGCAGCTGCTAAGTATGGGATACTTCAACCTGAAAGAAGATATCTTCAGCAGCAAAAGACAAGGAAGGATGTGAACAGAGTATATTTTGCCATCTTACAGGCATAAACCATGACTCCCACTTCTGAGAACATGGGCACCAACCTGAGGACAAAACATGGCAACATTTATGGTATTTATTCCACTGTCCTTTCCTTTATCAGGGTTGTTATTTTCTACAGAATGCTCCATTTGAAGGAGGGCTAGCAGCAATTTCTGCCTTACGCTACATGGGCTACATTTGCCTCCCCTTTCCCATTCATTTTTTTAGGACCTTGAAGATGATCAAAAGCTTCTCTCTCGAAGCCTCAAATATGTGTTAAAAAAAAAAAAAATTCCCCTTCCTTTCTTCTTTGGTTTGTGGCAATAACCCAAAACAAAAGAACTTTCATTTTGGATAAAAACCCCACAACTTGAAATACTGCTTCCACCTTCTAGTTACTTGCAGAGTTTTGTTTAGTTTTTCCCCATCTGAATAGAAGATGTGGTTGTTCTGTTGTATTGTTTCTCCCCCTTCCTTTCTCCCAGGAGAGGTCACTTGTGCAGTTTGACTGTAAAGAGGGCTCCATCTTCAGGTAATAGACAGGAGAGGATGTGTAGGTAATGGTCTATATCCTCTGACCTCACCTTCCCTTACCAAGAGGGTACATGAGGCTGTAACACAGAATATCAGATATATTTCTCCTTGACATCTCAAATTGACATGGGGGGAAAAGCATGACCTGGGACCAAGGAATCCCTTTAGCAGCTGTGATGAAAGACGGACCTCTCCTGCAAAGCTACATCTGGAAACACCTGCCCACCTGAGGCATACTGAGCTTTACAAGAACAGCAACAATACAAGCTGCAACAGGAAGGGTCTACAGAGCAGATCCCAACACCATGACACTGAAGATGAAGTAAATATTGAGCATTTAAAAGCATCAGGTAGCAGAGACTAGAAACAGTAAAAAAGAAAGGCAGATGATCCTGTTCGGGGGCAGGGGGGAAAGCTTCTGAGAAACAGTATTTTCAGCTAAGATATCAATAGTTGCTTAAAAAAATGTGTAAAAGCATGGACAATTTTTTCATTCCGTTGGGCTACAAGACGAGAATTTGGAAAAGAAAGAGCACTTCAGCATACCTGTCCTGAGCCAGTCCTACTACTTGCAGGAATTGAGTTAATGCCCCACATTAAAAGTCAAGAAAGACTGAAGCTGAGAAACAGCTTTACTGGACAAGACAATCAGCTGGAACTTGGAAGCTGGAATCTTTTCTGTTTGGCCACACTTACACACCTGGGGTGCCTACCGAGGCTTTGCAGCCTGCATTTGGACATCCCAGATACCGTGAGCATTAAAAGGTTTTCTCACAGCCACAAACACCCTGCCCAAACTGGCTGAGCTATCGGCTTCTTCAACATGCAAAACCAGATCCAAGGGAAAAAAGAAAGATCCACTAAATACTTCTCGCAGATGTTTGTTCAGAAGTGTAGATAAATTTGATAATAGGAGGGAAAGTCATGGTTTCTCCAGGAATTCAATGGCACCTGATATTTTAGTTGTATTTTTATGTCTTTGGTTTGAATGTCAGTTTGATAAATGTGAAAGCAAATCTTGCCAGGAGCCCAAGCTAAATTTCCTTTGTACTTCTGGCTGAAAAAACCCTGTGCACTTCAAGTTTTGAATACTGACATTTAAGTTGTACAGTGATTTGTAGACAAAAGCCAATAGTGATATCATAACAAAGAGTTTTCTGGGGACAGAACCATCTCTGAATATGAGCTGGGATGTTTCCAACGGGCTAAAGTTGACATTGCAAGGAGACACCAACTGAGGACCTTGTCCCCTTCCTAACTGATTCCAGGCAAGGCTGCCACAGTGCCAAACACTCTCTGGACAGCATTTCTCATTGCTTACTCCCAATGAGGGCAACATCTGCCGACAGCAAGAGACTACCTTTGCCTGCCAGGCTGCTTCAGAACTACCCTCTGCAAGTACTGGGCTGGTAAGAGGAGCCTGGCCTCTTTCATCTGCTGGGAAGGATGAGGAAAGCAACCCAAACTGGAGGGACGATCTCTGTGTTTTGCTTTCTTTAAAAAGCAATTTACTTTTAATAAAGCTGTTAGAAAAGGAAAAAAATGCAAGTATTGACACCCAGAGCATTCATTTTTGCTTAGAAAACTATACACAGGTTTTTGGAAGTGGGCTGGCCTTTATTGCCAAAGCTTGGGCAGGCCTGATGCAAGCAGTCTCAACTGCAACGTTCATTCAGGGCAAAAACTTTCTGGTTTTCACTCCCAGCCCAGCAGATGAATGCATGGATAGAAGAGTAAGGTATCAGCGAGCGCATCTGGCATTCTGCGCAGGCTCTGCAACTGCACCAGCAGCAGCAGGACAAGGCAAGCAAGCACAGGCAGGCCAAAGCACGACTCTGCCAGGATGAACATGTGGCTATGATCAGTAAAGGAAGGAGGAAGGAATCACTTCCTGCTCCTGCAGTTGTAGTTTGTAAGAAAATCAAGGCTATTCAATTTTATTCAAGCACCAACCCATCAGGAGAGATTT